CCTTCTTTCTTTCTTTCTTTCTTTTTTTTAATTCCACATATAAGTGAGATTATGCAGTATTTGTCTTTCTCTGTCTGACTTATTTCACTTAGTATAATGCCCTCAAGGTCCATCTATGTTGTCACAAATGGCAGGATTTTCTTGTTTTTGTTTTTTGTTTTTTTTTGTCCCTTTATGGCTGAATAATATTCCATTGTATATTCTTTATTCATTTATCCATCAGTGAACACTCAGATTGGTTCCATGTCTTGGCTATTGTCAATAATGCTATTGTGAATATGGTAGATTCAGGTAGCTTTTCAAGTTAGTGTTTTCATTTCCTTTGCATATATTCCCAGAAGTGGGATTGCTGTGTCTAGTTTTAATTTTTTGAGGCTCCTCCCTGCTGTTTCCATAGTGCCTGTATCAACTTACATTCTCACCAACAGTGCACAAGGGTTTCTTTCTCTTCACATCCATGCCAGCATTTGCTATGTTATCTTTTTGAAGGTGGCCATCCTAACAAGTGTGAGGTGATAGGTCATAGTGGTTTTCATTTGCATCTCCCTGATGACAAGTGATGTTGAGCATCTTTTCATGTACCGTGGCCTTTTTGTATGTCTTCTTTGGAGAAATGTCTATCGAAGTCCTTTGCCCATTTTTTTAATTGGGTTGCTTTTTTTGCTCTTGAGTTCAGTGAGTTCCTTATGTATTTTGGATATTAACCCCTTATCAGATACAGGATTTGCAATTTTTTTTCCCCATTCTGTAGGTTGTCTTTTTACTTTGTTGATGGTTTCTTTTCCTGTGCAGAAACTTTTTAGTTTGGTGCAGTGCCATTGTTTTTTTTTTCTTTTCTTTTGTGGCTTGTGCTTTAGGTGTCATATCCAAAAAATCATTACCAAGGCCCTAAAGAGTTTTTTGTTCCTATGTTTTCTTCTAGGAGTTTTATGGTTTCAGGTCTTACATTTGTCTTTAATGCATTTTGAGTTAATTTTTGTGAGTTGTATAAGATATAGATCCTGTTGCATTCTTTTATACGTGAATACCCAAACATCCCAGCACTACTTGTTGAAAAGACTGTCTTTTCTTCATCAAGTATTCCTGGCTGTCTTGTCAAATATTAGTTGACTGTATATGTTTGGGTTTATATCTGAGTTCTTGATTCTGTTCCATTGGCCTATTTGTCTGCTTTTATTTGCCAGTACTGTACTGTTTTGATGACTACAGGCATCTAGTAGAGCTTGAAATCAGGAAATGTGATGCCTCCTGCTCTGTTCTTTTTCAGAATTTCTTTGGATATTTAGGATCTTTGGTGGCTCTACGTAAATTCTAGAAGGTTTTGTTTTTGTAAAAAATGCCATTGGAATCTTGATAGAGATTTCATTTAAATCTATAAATGGCTCTTGGTATTAATAACATTTTAACAATATTTGTTCTTCCAGTCCATGAATACAGGATATCTTTCCATGTATTTATGTCTTTGATTTTTTTTTAACAACATTTTGCCATTTTCAGAGTAGAGATCTTTCACCTTTTTAGGTAAATTTATTCCTAAGTATTTCATTTTTTTGATGCTATTGTGAATGAAATAGATACTTGAACTTCTTTTTCAGAAAATTTGTTGTTAATGTATAGGAGTATTACTGATTTTTGTATGTTAATGTGTTTTACAACTTTACACATTCACTGATTAGATCTAACAGGTTTTTTTCTTTCTTTTTGGTTGAGTCTTTAGGTTTTCTATATATAAAATCATGTCATATGCAAATAGAGACAATTTTACTTCCTCTTTTCCAATTTCTGAAACCTTTTATTTATTTTTCTTGCCCAATTCCTCTAGCCAGGACTGCTAGTACTATGTTGGATAAGAGTGGTGAGAGTGGGCACCATTGTCTTGTTCCTGATCTTAGAGGAAAAGCTTTCAGTCTTTCATCACTGAGTATGTTAGCTGTGGGCTTCTCATATATGACCTTCATTGTGCTGAGATATATTCCTCTGATACCTGATATGCTAAGAGTTTTTATCATGAATGGATGTTGAATTTTTTTCAGATGCTTTTTCTGCATCTATTGAGATGATCATATGGTTCTTTTTTTCATTCTATTAATGTGATGTATCACATTGATTGATTTGTGTATGTTGAACCATCTTGCATTTCAGGGATAAATCCCACTTGATCATGATGAATGATCCTTTTAATTTGCTGCCAAATTCATTATTCTAGTTTTTTTTTTTTTGTATTTGTATTTGTATTTATTTATTTATTTATTTATAATATGAAATTTATTGTACAACACCCAGTGCTCATCACAACCCTAGTATTTTTTTTTAATTTTAGAGAGAAAGAGAGAGCAAAAGCAGGGTAGGGGGTCAGAGGGAGAGAGAGAATATTTTTTAATGTTTATTTATTTATTTTGAGAGAGAGAGAACATACTCGTGAGCAGGGGAGGGTCAGAAAGAGAGGGAGAAGGAGCGAGAGAATCCCAAGTAAGCCCCGTGCTGTTCAGCTGAGAGACCGATTGCAGGGCTCCATCCCAGGAACAGTGAGATCATGACCTGAGCTGAAACCAAGAGTTGGACGCTTAACGGATTGAACCACCCAGGTGCCCTGAGAGAGACTCCTGCTCCATGCTCAGTGCAAAGCCCAATGTGGGGCTAGATCCCATGACTCTGGGATCATGACCCAAGCCAAAATCAAGAGTCAAATACTCAACTCATTGAGCCATCCAGGTGCCCCAGTTTTCTAGTAGTTTATTGAGAATTTTTCATCTATATTCATTAAGGATATTTGCCTGTACGTTTCTTTTCTAGTAGCATTCTTTTCTGGTTTTGGTATCAGGATAATACTGGCTTCATAAAATAAATTTGGGAGTGTTTTCTTCTGTTCAATTTTTTGGAAGAGGTTGTGAAGGATTAGTGTTAATTATTTTTTAAATATTTGGTAAAATTTACCAGTGAAGTCATCTGGTCTTGGGCCATTATTTGTTGGGAGATTTTATTATTATTATTATTACTGATTCAGTCTCCTTACTAATAATTGGTTTATTTAGATTTTTTGATTTCTTCCTGATTCAGTCTTGGTGGTACCACCATTTTCAAAAGTGCAGCCCAGATCATTCCAGGAATTAGATGAACAACTGCATCATATTCTACAGTAAAAATAAGGTCGGAGCACTAAACTGACTAACTGTCAGCCACCCTGTTTGGGTATATATATTTTGCATGTTATAATTATATGATGTTGGGAGGGGGACAAAAACCTACAGAGGGATTTTAGGTCTCTGACACTGTCTAAAGAAATCTAGAATCTAGACATTGCTTCTAGGGCATAGAAAAACTTTAGTCATTGGGAGAGGTGGACTTTCCGGTTGGGTAGTAAAGGTCTGTCTGGCTTTCCTTAGAGCCTAGGTAATGTGTTTGACTTTTTGACTACAAGTAGAGAGGAGACAGTCACAGTTTACCTCAACCAGTGGGATTTGTTGTAAGATAGTGAGAGAACTGGTAGGTGGTTTATACTCGGGACTCCAAAATAACTCTCACTGGCTGGAGGCCTCTCACTCAACGAGTTTTCCAGGTGCAATGATTTGGTATTATCAACTTTGTTTCTTTTTCTACCTGTACTTATTACATACTTGAAAACTAACAAAATCTCCAATTTTTCTTCTAAATCACTGCTTTTAGTAAAACATTGTTTCTCAGGTCCTAAAACTTTTCCTTACTTTCTCTCTCTCCCATGTTTTATGTTCAAAATCTGAAAGAAAAATGCTCTTGGTTGCCATCTAATACAGGGCCACCTCCTAGACTTCTAGATGATGGCTCATCTTTGTAGGCTCAAGTAGAACAAAGACTAGAAATCTATTGATAGGGACAATTTCAAAAGGCAGGACCTCAGAGGCTTTTTTGAAGGATAGTGAAACTGTCAGGCACCTAGTAGAGTCTGATCAGTACAGTGAATTATTCCACACAACTGTCCTACTACCTTTGTTCTGATTCACATTCATCAAGCAGCTTACGGTTTATTAATTTCATCTACTAGATGTTCTAATAGTAAGGTTTCCTGGCAAGAACATACATATTTTAAATTCTGGAAAGAAGTG